TCTAAACTTGCCGGAGGTTTCAGTGGTATTTTGAATCTGGAGACATTTTGATTGGGAATTTACAAGTAAGTAGAGAACTTTAATTAGGCCTTGAGGCCCAAGAGGCCAGTGTAGATTTGAAAGGTAATAGTACTTTTTGAACACTATGCATAATATATAAAAGAAACCCATTTAGTATAAGAGTTAACAATACATGTTGCCACCTTGAATAAGTCTGCCATCTGAACAAATTACTATCCCTACTAATGGGCATGAGTTAGCTTCTAGCCCTTTCCCCCTAACTCCAGAAAGTCTTCATGTGTCTCCTCACACTCTTAGCAGGGTTGGGAATTAATGGATACTCATAGAAAGGATTCAAGGGCAAGGAGGGATAAGATTGGCCTACCTTGTGACAATATAGTGAAAGGGAGCATTGGACAGTAGTTAAACACAACTCAAGATGGACCTTTTGAAAGAAGATAACAGTCACATCATATGCAGCTTGCTTCTTGGAAAATCAACACATCATTCCCCACCACAGGGAAAGATGATTGAAGTGGATACCATAGTTTTGTAGATATATAGTTTTGAAGTGGATATATAGTTTTTTCAAACCATATTTCATCTTTCCAGCAATCACTCAAAATGTTAAAAAGGGGGAAATAAGCTTAGTGTTGCCAGAAATAGTTCTGCTATGTATTTGGCATGCCTGTGTGTGTTCATTGCCTGACTGCTAAAAAATAAAGACATGAAGTGGTTCCCGTGATAGGTTTGCCATTATCCCTGGTATCTGGTTAGGTTCTTGTCAGGGGAGTGGGAAAAGTTTCCAACTTTTTGGAGTTGTTAGGTTCATCGGGGACCAGACAGTGTCTAGGAATGGCTGTAGCAGAAATGTAGAGAGCCCTGGCCAGGTGGCTTAGTTGGTTGGAGTGTTGTCCCGTACACCAGAAGGTTGTGGGCTTGATTGCCAGTCAGGGCACATGCCTAGCTAGGTTGCGGGTTTGAGCCTAAGTCCGGGCGTGTATGGGAAGCAACCAATGTTTCACTCACATTAATGATTCTATCTCTCTCCCTTCCTCTCACTAAAAATCAATTAAAAATATATCCTCGGGTAGGGATAAAAAACATTATTGTAAAAGAAAAAGAGAAAGAATTGTAGAAAGTGGGGATCACCATGCCCTCTGGAGTTCTTCCCTTTTAATTGTCTTAGGGTAACTGGGAATGAAAGGTGGGGGGAGGGACTGGTTTTGTGTAGGTGAAGCTGGTCTGGTAGGGAGGGTACCAGAATCATTGCTCTTCTGAGGGAAAGACCAGGAATGATAATAACTATGATAATATTAACCTGCTTTATTCCAGGCTCTGTGTTGGATATTTTTCCTCCCTCCCTCCCTCCCTCCCTCACTCCCTCCCTCCCTCCCTCCCTCCCTCCCTCCCTCCCAAAGATGTTTTTGCATTTATCTACAGATAGAGTGGGAGGGAGAGAAGGAGGAAGAGAGAGAGAAACATCAATGCCAGAGAGACACTTCAAGTGGTTGCCACCCACACAACCCCAACTGGGGCCCGGGACAAACTGCAGCTGCGGTACATGCCCTTAGTGGGAACCAAACCTAGGTCTCTCCGGTCCGCAGGCCGATGCTCCAACCGCTGAACCAAACTGGCCAGGGCTGTGTTGGATATTTTAGATATATTGCTTCTTTGATCATCACAAAACATTTTTTTGTGTATTATTTTGTTTTATAGATAAGAGAATTGAGGCTTATAGAGGTTAGATACTCTCCCTGAGTGTACTAGGCTTCATTGGAAAGGCTGAGGCCCTGGCTGGATAGCTCAGTTGATTAGAGTATGTCCCAATAAGCCAAGGTTGTGGGTTTGATCCAAGAATCAACCAATGAGTGCATCAAAAAGTAGAACAAATTGATGTTTCACTTTCTCTCCCTTCCTCTCTCTAAAAAAATCAATTAAAAAGAAAAGGCTTGAGATTATAATATAGTAATAAAGTTACATAACCAGAGTAAATAAGGTAGTCATTGGCCACAGTTTGGGAAGAAAGAACTGGCAGATTTGATTAGTGTTTACAAAATCATGAATGGTTCTGGATGATGCAGACAACCTGGAATGAGTAAATTAAGGCTGCTCCCTTTTAAGTTTGTGAAAGGTGAAGTAAGGAAAGCTAAAGAAACAACACAGCAGGAAATAAATCTTGTGGGGCTCACTCTTAGTACAGTGGAAATAGACATTTTGGACAAGTTTAGATAAAGTCCTAGATGTTAGAACCATAGTGATGCACTGTGACTAATTTTGCAGTTTAAGACACAGTGGTCAGTTAACAGTTAGGAAGTCTTAGTGAGAAATAATGCAGAGATGGATGTTGGGATGAGGCTCAGACTCCATTTACTGGGTTATTTCATCCATAATTAGGTAAAAAGAGCAAGTCTGTAGTTATGCTTTGAGGATTTCACCCCCTTCCTTTTTAGCTACTTGCATTGATTCTGTACTGGTAGAACTTCAAATTTTGAGATTTTTTAAAAAAAAATATTTTTGTTCTATTGATTTTAGAGAGAGAGGAAAGAAGAGAAAGGTAGAAACATTGATGAGAGAGCATCGATTGGCCGCCCCTTGTATGTCCCCCACCGGAGACTGGGCCCACATCCTGGGCATATGCCCTGACTGGGAATTGAACCGGTGACCTCTTGGTGCATGGGTCGATGCTCAACCACTGAGCTACACAGGCCAGGCAAGTTTTGAGAATTTTTAAGTACTTAAAAACGTGAGCTTAACTTCTAAGTGTTAGAGCAGTAATGGGTGACATGCTAACATTCTCAGTTACATACACCTTTTTTTATTTTTTTAAATATTTTTTAAAATTGATTTTTGAGAAAGAGAAAGGGAGAGGTAGAGAGAGAGATAGAAACATTGATGAGAGAGAACATTGATTGGCCGCCTCCTGCACGACTGCCACTGGGAGGGCCCACAATCCGGGCATGTGCTCTGACCTAGAATCAAACTGGCGACCTCTGGGTGCATGGGTCTGTGCTCAGTCACTGAGCCATACCAGCTGGACACACCTTTAAAATTTGTTTCTATTTATTATGCTTTATTCTGTAACTTATTTATATGCACCCATATTATAGATCCAACTCATTTCAAATGTCTTTTTCTTGCTCCTTTCCCCATTCATATTGCTGTTGTATTCACCCCTCTCCTTTTGTTTTTGCTACATTGTAGCAACTGTTGACTGTGTTTAGAGCTAAAAGAGAAGAGGAACTATTGCCTTTGAAATTGTTTCATTGTTTCCCTGGCCAGTGTGCTCTGTGGTTAGAGCATTTAGAGCATTGACCCATGCAGGGAAGGGTGGTGGGTTTGAATCCCAGTCAAGGGCACTTACCTGGGTTGCAGGTTCAATTCCCAGCTGTGGTTGGGTGCATGTGGGAGGTAACCAATCGATGTGTCTCTCTCATATCGGTGTTTCTCTCTCTCTCTCTCTCTACCCCTCCATCCATTACAATCTCTAAAAATAAGTGGGAAAAATATCCTATAGTGAGGATTAACAAACAAAATAGTTTCAGTGTTTCATTAGCATCCTCTCCAGTTTTGATACTGGTAAGTTTTCTCTTCCTTCTAGTGGAAGAGGGTGGGTGACTGGCTTCTGACCTGTGGCTTGGGCTCCTCTGCCCTGTTTCCCACAGCTGCTTCCAGAGAGCCAGTCCCCTTTCCTCCAGACATGGGCTCCATTTGCTTGGAAGGCAGCTTGCTGGCTTTTAGTTACTTAGGTTTGTAACACCCATGGATCTTTGATGTTTTTTCTTTTCTTTCTGATGTCTTGCTGCTGCTCCTCTGATAGAGCACATACTAAACTTCAGTGGTATTGTCTGTACTCTGTCTCCAGGTTTGCCCCCAGTACTTCTGTCCCATGATGTCTCCATTCCTACTTCCTTCTGTGTGGCCATTTGTGTCATTAGGTAGTAAGAAGTGTGTCACTTGTGCACCGAAGTTACCTTCATGTCAGAGTAGCTACACTAGCATTTTTCAGGTTTTCTGCATTATAGGTGAGATCTTTATCTTCTTAGAATTCAAGCATTTTGATAACTAGGAGGGAAAGATTACTTAAACATATTCTTCCTTTAGTCCTGGTTCTTTTTCCTACACATTTTGACTGAGTTTATGTAAATGCAAGCTTCAGTGATACTTATTCCAAATTTACTTTCCCAGTTTGTTCTCCAAAGAGTAATAAACACAGGCAAAGTTAGTTTATTAAGAAAACCAGTGATTTACCCAGTGAACTAAGTAGTTGAAATAGTATTTTGAGAAGGTTTTTATTTTAAATAGCTTATTTTACTAGGTATATTTTATAAAAAAGTATATCTGTATACACTGTATGCATAAGGTACAACCAGATTCAATTGGATTTGAAAAATGTGTTCATGTTTCTCAGGAGAATTCATAGGTGTTCTCATAACTGAAGTCCTGCTGTGTCTAATCGGTCCCAGGGACATGGTCTTCAGGCCTGCCTGCTCTAGAATTTCAGCACCTCTTCAGTAGTTCATTGTCTTATCATTCGAGGTAGCTGGGTGACTAGAAAGTGTTTAGGATTCACTATTTATGAACTACTAAAGTTTTTAAATCATAGGAAGTGATTAATCATGAGTCAGTAATTTGAGTTAATAAAATAGTAATATTCTGGATTCATAGATTGAAAGAATTGACAAAGTTATCTTAAAAATTACTTTTAGTTTTCAAGGGCTAATAGCTATTCTTTTTATTGAACAGATGTGAAAAATAAAGGTAAAGAGAGTGTAACTCTTACAATTTAAACGTGATTTAAGTTCTATAATAAAGTACATCTACATCAGAAAAGGCTGAATTATTAAATGTGTTATATCTGTGATGGTGGGGGTTATGTGATTTGAACTGTTCTTAAATTAGTTTTATTCAAAATGTAATATAAAAATGCATTGTCATGTTCTAATTTTGGTTTGTTTGATTTACAGTAAATGAACTGGAACTTATCTCTTTTACTTTAGGCTTTCAGATAAACTTCTGTGAAAAGGCACAAAGTAAGCTACACATTTTATGATACTATGCTACTTATTTTTTTGTATCCATCTTGGTATTGGGAATGTGTCTACTATTGTTTTAACTAACCAACCATGGCAATTTTACATTAAAAGAGCTTCCATTTTTCATTCTTTTCCTAAATGTTATATTCTTTTGGTTTGAAATTGAAATAGAAGACATACATATATAGTTATTCAAATGTATATGGGTATAGAAAGATATACTAGCTTTAGAAAGATGTGTATGGGTATAGGGTGTTCATGTGTAGATAGTTACAGAAGGATGTACATAGGTATTTGGACTTAACTATAATTTAAGTCAAAAGTTAAGGAAAGTTCACTTTTAAGATTGTAGTGCAAAAAGTATATAACTGTATCAGAGGTCTCATGCTTTAAAATTATTTAAACCATATACTTAATTCATTTTATTATTTTTCTTTAAAACAAAGCTTGTTTCTTTCTCCTGCTTCCCCAACCCCCCAATATAGACTAGTGTTTTATATTCAGACACTAGCATTCGTAGAATACAGAATATGTTTTCTATTAAAAAGCACAATTTATAAATCTAAAACAAATGCATTTTAAGCTTAAATATCACTGTATAAAATGCAGTTTAAAAAAATCCAAGCTCAAGGAGACTGTTCTCCAGTTAACATAAAAATATCCCAAAATAAAATGTAAGTAGTTTCATCTTCAGTTTATTTATTCATAGAATGGGGAAGAAAGATGACCACTTTTCTCTCTATATTATTCTTTTCCCCTCTTAGCCTTATTGAAATATAATTGACATATAAAATTGTGTAAGCTTAATGTGTACAGGGTGATGATTTGACACACTTATATATTTTAAAATACTAGTAATAGGGTTAGTTAACATTTCCATCACCTCACTTAAGTAATTTCTGTGTGAACATTTAAGATGTATTCTTTTAGCAACTTGTAAATATATAATACAATATTAATAACTGTAGTTAGCATGTATATTTTATATCCCCTGATATGTATCATGCTAAAGAAAGTTAGTTCAAAGGAAACAAAGTTGAACCTGAAGAAAAGTTTCTGTTTTTAAGTTTTCTGATGGAATCAAATGCTTAATTTCTATTGGATGAACACTGTGACTTCCTTTGAAATGTATTTAGTGAAGATTTATTTCTTGAATGGTTCACTCGTGATATAAATATATAATGAGTAATAGAGTGGGGTACCTATTCCCTGGGATAATTAGTTTTTAATTGGCCCATTATTATCATCTTTCTCTTACCTTAAATTAAAAATAGTGAATAGCCCTGGCAGGGTAGCTTAGCTGATTAGAGCATCGTCCAGATATGCAGGGTTGTGGATTGGATCCCCGGTCAGCAACCAGTGAATGCATAAATAAATGCAACTACAAATTGATGTCTGTCTTTCTCTCTTTCACTCAAATATATAAATAAAAATAAAAAGTGTATAATTTCCAGCCCATAATGAACATACATGTATATGTATATGTAGTGAAGTTACAACTTCTATTTTTTGCTATCTTTTAATTTTAACATATTTATTATGACAATTTTTAGCTTTCATTTAACTTTTAGTAAAAAATATTTCTGTTTTAATATTTAATATAGCCCTGGCCGGTTTGCTAAGTGGTTAGAGCATCAGCCTGCGGTGCAGAGAGACCTGGGTTTGGTTCCTGCTAGGGGCACGTACCTCGGTTGCAGTTTGTCCCTGGCCCTGGATGGGTTGTACGGGTGGCAGCCACTCGATGTGTCCCTTTCACGTTGATGTTTCTCTCTCTCTCTCTTCCTCTCTCTCTCCCTCCCACTCTATCTGAACAAAAAATGGAAAAATGTCCTCAGGTGAGGAAAAAAAAAAAAATTAATATAATTTTTAGTTTTTCTATTGACATAAAATCTAAAGAAAATTGCTGATAGTTTTAACATTTAAAACTGTACATACATTGTTGCCCTTTTTTTTCTAACTTAGTTCTATTGTGGACATAAAACAGGAGAAATGTATTGATTTTATTAAGTTTAAAATGTATTTATAGTGTCTATAAATAGCTTTGTATGTAGGTTAAAAATTCCTTTCGATTATTTAAATGGTCCATTGTTTTAGGAATGATAGGTTTGTAGTGTTGCCTACTTTAATACGCATGGAAGAATCTAACAGAGGAGCATATATATTCCCACTTTGATGCTTGCTTTGGGTTACTTTCACTACCTTGTCATAGTGTGACTCCTTTCTCACATGTCCCTTTTTACTTTTCCCTCTTTCTTTGAGAGATCCTTATCTTTATCTTCCAGCTTTTGGGATTCAACACAATTTTATATATTCATTCACAAAGTACATATTGGACACCTAGGTACCATACAGTGGAAGATTATTGGTACAGAAATGAATAGAATTGGTCCCTGCCCTTAATGAGCTGTTAGTGCAGTGGCCTAGAGTGGACCCTGCGTTGATTGTAAGTGCTCGACTACTGATGCTACAGATTGATTAGTAGCTGAGCCTGAGTGAGGTGGTACAGGAGCAGATGTGTACTGGGCACCTTTGCTCCTGCTATTCTGTCATGAGAGAGGATAAGCATGAGGGGTGCTGTGGGTCTCATGATAGCTGCTTTCCTGATTGGAGACCACGGCTCAGAGATCCAGCATGGGCTTGCCCTGCTGTGGAGTTCAGCAGAGTTGTCTCTGCTGACTGGGACTTCAGTGGAAGACTAGAAAAGGGGGCACACATAGGAAGGGTTGGAGCTGGTATGTTCGTAGGGATGGCAGCTCTAAGTTGACAGCATTTATTTTTGCACTCTTAGTACATATATTTTAGGATAGATTTTTAGTTGCTTACATATATTAACACTTTCCCCAAAAAACTGGTCCTGTGATTGACACAGCTGAAAAATTAAAACTGCAATTTTGTGTTTGCAGTCTTCCTGTTTGCTCTGGAACATAGATATTAACTGTGTTGAAAGTTGTCACTCATTTCTATAAAAATAGAGGGATTGAAATGACCAAGCAGTGTGTTCTCACCTGTTCGGTCATACTGTAGTGTCAGAATCTCCAGTTTTATTCTAATGGTGTTTCAAAATTGTCACAAAAAACTTATATTTAATTCATTAAAAAAATCATACATGGTGGGACAAAAGTAGGTTTACAGTTGTTCATGTGGAAACAAATACAAGAATAAATAATAATATAAGGATAAACTGGTTCGCCTGTACACAACTGTAAACCTACTGTTGCCCCACCCTGTGTATCACACAGCAGTTGTAGAGGGATGGGGCAAAAGAGTTCACAGTTAGATGATGGTAGAAATCCAGTAAGTTTGACTATTGCTTCTTCAAATGCTCAATTTTTTATCATAAATCAAAAAGACTTATTGTAAGATAATTCTGATGACTAATGGAAGCTCTGAAGGTTTAATTTTTTCCATTGTTTGACTTTCACGTAGTTTTTGTTTTTTATACTGCCACATCACTATTCACTTAGTTTATTATAATTGCCTGTTATAAGTTAGTGGAGTTTTATTGGAGGTGTGTGTGTAGGTATTTACACACACAAGCATATAGTATGAGATTACATATTAAATTTTGAAACCAGATTTTTATGGAAATTCAATAAAAATCCACTTTGCACCTCATGGTCTTCATTTTTGTCAATTATAATTTGTGCATTTATTTGCTTTTTTGTTTTTCTAAGTATATATGTTTAAGATAATATATATTTAAGATAAGTAATAAGTAAGGTTATAATTATTTTTAAAAAGAATTATGTTTTACACTGTTGGATCATTGAATTGTTCTGAAGTCTGATGTAAAACAACTTAAGGGAAAACATTTCTTATGATGTAGAATTACATTTAGAAGGTTGATTAAGTCATCATTTATCATTTGAAGATGTTAATTTCATACTTGTAAAGGTGTTTGTATGATTTATGACCAAGTCTTGAATTATCATATCAGTGGCTTAAACGAGCTAACTTGTAAACACTGTTCTTTAGAATATGATTTAATTTGCTTTATAAAACCAGTTTTTTTGAAGGGGTTAGTAGATTTTTGAAAAATTCTTTTATAAATGTTAAATTATGCATTTTTTTTTTTTTTTAGATGGGAACTGTGACCCATTAATCTTCCAGGGGCATAGGGATTCTCCTCAGACAATGCCTAACAGAATCCTGTGCTGATCAAAGTGAGCGGGATTAGCAGTTTGGCAATACTCTTAATAGTTCAGTTTTCACACAAGCTCTCCTTCTGTCCTGCAGTGTCTTTGTAGCCCTCGGCTGTAGAGTTCTTGAGTGCTAAAGACAAATTTGGAGAGTGTTGAATTTCTGTAGCTTTGCCTTTTACACTTTTGGTGGCTTTAAAAACTTTTAGAGCTTTTAAAAGGTTGTTTTACTTAGGAATGTTTGCATAGCAATGGGACTTTATTTAGAAAATTATATGTTCTAGGAAATTCGATTGCAGATAGTTATTGCTTTTGGTCACACTCCACATCAGAGTATTTGGAGTAAAAATGGAGGTATCCTAATGACAGGTTCTCGTTTCATTGTGAAACTATTCTTTTAAGTATCCGTAATTGTTTTTAAAATTGGTAATAGTAAAAAGGAAACTGTAAAGAGGAAGAAGGATGTTTCTTGAATCTTTCTAGAAATTTGAGTATGTCATTCATAAGTTTACTGACCTGATAAGGAATGTCTATAAAAGGTGATGTTTTGCTCAAGAGAGCATTTAACTTTTTTGGAGCTGGAGTATAAAAAAACGGTAGGGGTAAGGAGTGGAGGAGGGGGACAGGCCATCCTGCCTTTAAAATTAAGAGCTTAGAAAGTTCAGCTGATTAAATTTCCAATTTCCCATATTATGTAGCAAAAACATACACCCAGTGACTAACATTTTATCATTTGGAATTTAAAAAATTCAGTTCAAATTTTCAGCAATCCTAAGAAACAGAATGACCAAATTTGCTACTTCTGTAGTTTAACAAGGTTTACTTAAATTTATATTGATGCTGAAGTAAGATGCAAAT